TGCCATGCGATGTTTTTGTAGAAGAGTGTGACTTTTATAGTTTAAAGTTAACCACAAGCGTAAGCTCCTTTCCAAAACATCAAGGCTGCCTCACAACAGCTGCTAATTAGATTCATCACCCACATTGGAATTTTGTTTCTGAAAACAGATTTCTTCTGTTTTTGTTTTTTAATACTTTGTAGGAAGAAACAGAGTTCAGAGTTTAGTTTTGTGAATGTACAGTACTTTAACCTGCACTAAATGGTTTCTTGCATCTGCGGGAGAGTAAGAAAGGCAAGGCAGACAAGTAACCCTAAAAACTAATTATGAGACTACCAAAAGGGGCAGCTGCTTTCTGAACTGGAAGCTGAATCAAATTCAAAATACCAACATTGACATCGGAATAGTTATATCCACTGTACACTATGTTAATCCTTTGTCCTAGAGGGTATCTTATTGCCAACTAGGAAAACGTAAAAGTGTTTGTTAGGTTTACAAGTATGAAGATGTTTCATTAAAGTATTTTTACCAGAAGAAAAATCTGCCATATACTAACTCAGATATCATAAGTCTTGCTGGTAAGGTAAATCCTTTCTCAAAAAGAAAAGCTCCCAACTAGAAGTCTTCACATATTTCGGTACAATAAATAACATTTTTAAAAATACACAATTGACCCTGTATGCAGTTGAGGGTGCACGGTTTAATAAATAGATGTGAATGGCATGTTTCAAATTTGTCTTACATGAAGCAGCCAGCTAGGAGGAAGCATCAACTTGGATGCATTCTGTAAGAAGTCCAGAACATTAGAGGTAGGTGTTTAAGCAGCCCTGTCTTGGTAAAGCAGTTGGGGTCTTATCTTCTGTGGGTACTGTGTAAGTAGGTGGACATTGCAGAAAACAGAATTATTTCATTTTCTACTTAATATGTTGCACTCAGATGTATTTAATTCACTGGCTAAAGTTTTCTTCCCCAAGCAACAAGCCACATATGCATGGACTTCATCTTTCAAAAGGCTATAATTACTTGGTGAGAAAATGGAAGCAAATATAACTACACTATGGTAGCAGCTGTCTTTGAATTCAAAGTGACAATTCTGTGATGAGAGGTCTGTGTAACACCTAAGGGTTTTCTTATGCACAATACATCAGTTCACTTAAATGTATAGCCAAACATGCTATTTTGGGCAAGATGACTGATTGAACATCCTTTATGAATGCCCCATTTGTTTTTTGTTTCTTGGGTTTGAGATAACATTCGTGTTTGAAAGGTCAATTTAAAAAAAAAAAAAAAAAACAAATCTGGAATTATTTAATGTAGAGGTGAAATGAAGGTTGACAGTTTCAACTTCTCAATTTGATTATATAAGTTGTTTGTAGAATGATGTTTAGAGGTGTACTTTATGATTTTTCTTTTATTTATTTACAGTCTTATTTATGTTCTGTTTAATATAGTTCAGTTCTGGCCATAAAAATATTTGACACTAAGTATGCAATTGTGAAAAATATTTAGAGCTGTCTAAATTCTTGCTAGATTACCTGTTTCTCCTCACATGTTGAATAATTTTTTTTAAAAAGTATTATTGTCTGATTTGTAAGCTTGAGGTGAGGTCAAAATTTAAGTATTGCTGGCTTTAGCTTGCAAATCTCATTTAAAAATGAGAGACTTAAACATATTCATGCTCCTCATTTTCCAAAGTGGTAAAGTTGAACATATTTGTAGGCAGCTTTTAAGAATTTTCTGGGTTTGGAGTTTTGGGGGTTTTATACTGATTCAGATTATTCACACTTGAAACACTCAATAGAATAAGCTAAAATAATACATACAAGTAAACCCCCATCAGTTTAAAATTATAAATACTACTCTTGAAGTGGAATTTACTCTGCACAGCAGGGTATAATGAATGTAATTAGTTCTGTTTCCAGGTACCAATGTCACTGCAGTTGCATATATATCAAAATCTAAATATTACTGGTACAAGAATATTTAGCCAAATGAGCAAAGTTTAGCAGAAATTGTAACAGAACACAAATCAAATAATTTTAAGATTTTTTTTTTTTTACTATTGCTATGTTTATACTGTATTAAATATCAAATGCTCAGGACTGAACTAAATATTTAATCAGGTTATATTCTGAATGTGTTTCTGTTCTAATTTTGTCTGTAAGAGTATGCAAGTGCATCACATAGATTAACTTGTCTCTGCACTTTCCATGTGTTTCAGTGATTGGAAAATACATTTTTTAACAAAGCTCTTTTCCAGACCAGTGTTTGATTTAATTCTTTTATTGCTGTTTTATGTCTTTATATGCTCTTTGCAGAAACAGATGGCTGCTACAGCTTTGTCAGTGTAAAATCATTGCCATTTCTAGAAAGTTCACATCAATCACTGACAAGTCTTAGGATGAGTTATATAGAAACTGATTCATATACTCTGTTAGTTCTTCATATTCATGAAGTAAAAGCTACAATAGCAATGAACATGGTCAACTCTCCACTGGACAACATCTCATTATTATTCAGAAATACTGGCTTTCCTTAGAGAGAGATTGTGCAGGGATATGTTCAATCATTCTCTCTCTCTCTCACACACACACACAATGGAGGATCTTGCATTACATGACACTATGTCTGAGAACATTTAGTTTCCTGTAAATGATACAAGTCCAGGGAACTTCATTCAGGGTTGTACTGTATTAGGTTTTTGTAATGTATGTTGAACTGACACTACAAACTTTCAGGACTTAAACTAATATTTTTGTAAAAAAGACATTGTTCAAAGCAGCCCTAGTAAGCATTCAGCCATTTAAAATATGGTCAAGTCTCTGTGCATGCCTAGAGATTAAAAATTTTATACTCACTTATCCTAAAAAAAAAAAAAAAAAAACAACAAAAAAAAAAAACAACATCTGCAAGTGATCAGATTTTGGAGAAATACAGTGGTGACTTAAATCTGCATAGCTCATCAATTAATGTTAATTAAAATTGAAGGTAAGTAGTGATTAAAGGAAACTACTTTGTAAGAAGCAATCCCCCCACCCTGATCTTGTAAACAGTAACCTGTCTGTTCAGCAGACCTTTCTTACTGTTATGCAAGAGTAAGAAATCTGAAAACCTGATGTCTACCCTTTTAAAAGTCTTCTGTTTCCGGTTTCCAGATGTTGATGGGTGTCTTGCATATCTGCCATTGCATACTGCTCTGGTAATGGATGGTCAGATGATAAGCAGATTGTGGAGAGGAGTAGAGATCCTCCTAGAATTATAAAAAATCCACCAAACCAACCACTGAACAGTGCATCCCCTACTTCCCATCTGGGCACAATCTCTGGGATGTCTTCATCCTAAAATTCCTGGATTATAGTATGGGCAACCCAAGAAACAGGGACTAGGGCCAGAACTCCAGCCATCCACAGGAGTATTCCTCCAAGTAGTAACAGCTGTTTCTTCAGCTTCTGCTCTGTATCCTCCACCTTTAGGCAGTCCAAACCAAGACTAGAGATCACACAAGGCTCAGAAGTCCTAGCCCATTTGATGTAGATACTAAAGTCCTGGAAATCTTGAATTCTAGAGGCGAAACCAGTAAAGAATCAAAATCTTTACACAGTGTTCCTCCTACATCTTGGACTACACAGGTTTGCCAGAGTCCCATGGTCCAAAGCTCCAGTACATTTAAGTCTAAGTTGAGATTTTTCCAGTCTGATAAATACAGGTACCAGTTAAAACCCATCCTAGTACAGACAACAGAAATCCAGCTAACTGTAGCCTGTGCCTGTGGACCGAGTTCATTTTTAACACTCACAGAAGCTCTAAACCACTCACTTTTGCGGACACTGTTCAATTCTTTGTCATACTGAACATAAACAAAAGTTAAAACACTGCTTTATAAAGCATGAAGTACTCCTCCCCCTCCTGCTTTGTGGTGCCTGGTTCCACCTGCAGTGTTTGGGGGACAGGGAAGTAGTGTGGTAAACCAGTAGCTGAAGGGTGTGGCCACAGCTGGGCTCACCTTTCATTAGTTTTGGGGTTTTTTTTTAAGAAAAGCATATATTTTGCTTTCCATCAGTCTGCTAAAGCCTTACAACAGTTCTGCTAGATTTGGCATCTCACAGTTTGTTTTTAAATTAAGTTTTAATACCACATTGGTACATTTCTACTTAGAGCAAATGAAGCTGTCTGCTTTGTGGCCAGTTAAATATCATTTGTTTAAAGTCCAGGGTTACCCGTTCAGAGCAACATGTTGCTGTAAGTGAATGGAGCTTAAGGAGCCTTTGATGGGATGCATGCCTCAATACCTGTATCGGAAGAAAATTGTGTATTTTTTAAAGCAGCATTTCTCAGCCCATATTTGGTGCATAAAGTATGCAGGTGCCGGAAACACTTCGAATAACTCCTATGGGCAGCTTAATGTGCTAGACTGGGAAAACACAATTTACTTACTGGGTATGAAGCACCTACCCTGTAACACCCCATGCACAAAAAGACATCTGCAAAGCTTGCTAGAATTTCAGAAACCTACAGTTTCCTTAGCACAACAATTTCCAAGTACACAGAAAAACAATTTGATGCAATGCATGTATTTAGACTGTTCCGGATGTAAAAACACAAGTCTGTACGTCACTGCATTAGGCAAGTGGAAAATTGCAACAGGGAATCAAGCTTTGAGGCTCATTTAATTGGTTGTGTATGAAAGGGAAGCATATTTTGGTTAAAAGCCAAGCTGTAAGAGAACATGCATATTCATTTTCAGGATTTTACAGTGCACTTGAGAAAGCAAAAGCACCTTTTCTGCATAGTCTATGAAAACTTCAGCATTCTGCTGTGAAACAAAGTTTTAAACAGGTGAGAAAGCAGGTGAGAAAACACACCATCTTCCAATACCAGTTATGGAAAAAAACAGACATAAGTTTAGGAAATCAGCTAAGTAACAAAGAGTCCTTTGAATTACTACTGGAACAAGCTTCTGGCTTGCGCTAGGGTTTGAAAAAGATAGGGCAGTCTTTCTGTGCTGTTTAAAACCTTCCATTTTAAGGCCTAGTTTCAGTTTCCACATGTTGACACTGATCTTGGTGTTCTGGTACTGCGTAATGGACCGAAGATGGATGGACTTCAGTTGAACAGATTGTGCAATTGAGTAGGGATCCTCCTAATATAAGACAAAATCCAGCAAGCCAGCCAACAAATAACGCTTCCCCAAAATCCCACCTGGGAACAATATCTGGTATATTCTCATCCCAGAATTCCTGGACTGTGGAATGGGCAACCCAAGAAACTGGGACAATAGCTGTAATCCCCGATATCCAGAAGAGCAATCCTCCAAACAGCAACAGCCGTTTCTTTTGTTCCTGTTGTCTTTCACCAATTTTCAAACAGTCCAACCCAAATCCTGAGAGCAAGAGGCCCAAAAACCCCAATCCATTGGAAAAAAACATCAAAATCCTAGAAATCCTGAGCTCTGGAGGCAAAGCTAGGAAAGAATCGAAGTCCTTGCACTGCATTCCCCCTTCTTCCTGGACAACACAAGCTTGCCAGAGTCCCATGGTCCAGATCTCCAGTTCATTCAGTTCCAAGTTAAGATTTTTCCATTGGGGTAAATAGGTAGTAAGACAGGATAGGACCCATCCCAATAGAGAGACTAGTATGCCACTTAATTGCATCATTGGTCGATAGACCAAGGCCATTATAAGAGCACAGTCCTAAAAGCCTGAGGAGGAAGGTCTCCCCAGCAGTTCTGTAACAACTGCTACCTTGAGTGATGGTGGAAGCTATGATGATTTTAGTTCTCTGCTGCCCCAAATATAAGCCCTTGCTATTAACCCTTTGTAAGCTCTGAAACACTTTTTTGTTCTTCACGCATATAAAGTTTCACATAAAGGACGAAGGACTTCACTAAACCATGAGTTAGGCTTTCCGATAAGGATTTGATCCGTTACCTTCCAATTTGCTTGGTAAAATTATATCCCAATGCCTGATGATTACAAGCCTGAGGATGAACAAAGAGGGCTCTATGACCCCTCACCCTAAAACACAACAGAAATCTTTGTACTTCAATACGGATTAATTAGATTTTAAGTGGTGATAAAAAGTCAGCTCTGTGTGCAACAGGACTTCATTGTAATAGCTAAATTTGAGATTTCAGGGATGTAAATCAAGGCCTTGTAAAGAAAGGTAGACTGTTTGCCTATAATCTTTATTCTTAGACTTCCTCAACATACATAATGGCTTATCTTCCACTGCCCTGTTTTATGTCCCCAGCACTGTAAAAGACGCTTTGTAAAAGATCCTATGGTTCACATTTTCTACATTCATTTCTCTTAAAGTGGGCTTTGTTTTGACTGACTCTTAAGGGGAAAAGGAGACGGGTATGGTGAAAGTACCATAGAGAGTGAAATCTTAGACATCCCTCCACCATAATAAACCCAGGCAGATCATCAGCCAGCGTAAACTTTACCTGCCCCAGCACTTCAGCAACACCACGGTAGCAGCTTACACCATCTCAGAGTGTCCCCTTTCCTAGTGCCCACGTCCCAGATGGCACAGAGTGTATACCCTTAGTGTCTAACAACATTTGGCACTCAATGCTCCCAGGGCCAGGAATGCCTAGTACCTTTCTGATCAAAGCAAGACACCATTATGCCATTACCCCATTAGGAAACCCTGCTTTTTTCCTGCTCTCATGTCAGCTACGCTTGTGCTTGTCTACAGGGTCAGCAAGGAGAACATTTGTCTGCTATTCCCCTCCACAGCTGTAACAGCACAGCCTGTACGGGAAGGAGCTGAGCAGTGTGAACACATGCACACGTGTATGACCCAGAGATGCTTTCCAGTCTTTCTTGACTTCATTTCCTAGATATGATAATGTACTCATCTGCATATTCGAATTCTCAGTTGCTCGAAACAGGTTATCAGGTTATAGAAAAACATAACATTGCTTTTGAAGATTTTCAAAATCCTGAAGGGTATCATTAAGAAATTTCACTATGAGATCTTCTTCATTTCTGTATTGGATCTTAATTTCTAAACCTCGTTTTTTTCCTGTCACAAGCTGTGAAGAGCCAACAGAAGGAAAGATGATCAATTTCCCTTTTGCTTGTGTACCAACCCAGTCCAACGGCTTACATCTGGTCAAAAAATTACCATGGACAAGAGCAGGAATCACCAAGGATATTCATTACTGACAACACTGCGAACAAATTGATGCAAGCAAGGCTCTAACTTTGGCCATCCACTTAGTAACAGAATCAAAAAGACTAACCCTGAATTCATTCAAACTCCAGATTGTGTTTTCAGATTTGGCAGTGTCGTTTCTCTCCCCTTTCTCTGTTCAGAGCAAGAATGCTAGTTCTGGAAATCATCATGACATTCAATGAGAAACTCCATAATGCCATTTGAATAATTTTTTTCAGATAAACAACTACACTCCAGGAGTGCTTCTGCTCATTCAGGGGCTACATGCTTATTTGACTTTAAAATCATGGTTACTGCCAGACTGTTAGTGAAAGCCTGTTGCGCTTCTCTTGTCTGTGAACATTTAACATCATCTCTTAACTCCAACAGTCAATACATCATGAAAGCACAAGATCAGGCATGTGAAGTCCATTCATTTTGCTAATGTTGACCACAGCTGGAGCAGTATGCCAGCCTTTAAATTTTAGCAATCACAAGCATTCAGACTGCAGCATCAGTAAGATCTGCCAATTAAGTTCTGCAACTTACTATTAAACATGCGCTAACCTAGAGCAAGCAAAGCTTCCTTGTACTATCCTGTGCAAGATTATAAAAGAATCCTTGTTCTTCCAGTGGAGGAAAAAAAAAAAAGAAAAAGACTTGCCTTGTCAACAGGATAACAAGGTCTGAAATGCCTTTACTTGGAACTTACTGATCTTACAAAAATCTCAGCAAACCCACAAACAAAAAGAGATCTTCCAGCTGAACTGAGATACGTAAATTCTTGGGTCAGTAACTGCCTTAGCCCTATCTCCCTTGTCCTTCTTTCACACTTTTCCTCCCCACCGTTCTTTCTTTCTTTCTCAAACATCTAAAAATGTCTCATTCCCAGAATAATTTTATTTTGGTAGACTTCTGCCTACACAGAAAGTAACATGTCAGAGTTACTGCAAAGTCTAAGAGCTAGAATTGGGCTCCCATCAGTTTCTGCCCTACTGCTCAGGGTAATTTGAAACATAAACCCAGGGTGCACTGTTACATTACCATGACAAAAAACATCTGCCGACATCTGCACCGCCTGAAACAACAGATCATCTCAAGGGGTTTCAGTGGAGATGGCCACTGCCCCCCAAGCTGGTGGGGCAGGGAAGCTGCCTGCCAGGGACCTCCCCAGCCACTGCCACGGGGCCCATGCACAAGTGAGCTGCTCCAGGACAACTCTGCCCCTTCTCCTTGCCGTGCTCGCCTTAGCAGCCTCTGCAGCGAGGACTGTGCTTGTCTAACACACGCTTGTCTGGAAGAAAAGGAAGAGCAAGTACAGCTATCACCAACCAGTGTGCTTTCAGGTAAGGAAGGTGAGGATGAATTTAGGTGGGGTTTCGACTGGGTTTAGAGCTCCCCCCCCCCCCAACTTTAAAACCCGATGTATGTAACATTCAGGGATACCATCCTACAGAGGCTTAAGCAGCTAAAATAATCTCAGCATATGAGGAACTGAGCTGCAGAGAAGAGAGATTTCTGGTCCCTTTGCCAGAATGAGCAGAAGCCAGCAGAGACTCTCCAGAGCATCAGCCCCCCTGAAGCCAGGCACTTGCCACAGACACACAGATTGGGACATCTTCACGTGCTGCTGTTGCCATTTGACTGTTTCAGCAGCCAGTTCTGTGAGACACTGAGCTTTTGTAACTCTCATTACAGACAATGCCCACGAAGAACACAGCACACGTCACGATCAGGTTTCTACAGTTTCAGTAATACTGTTTAAAGCCTCAGAGATCACATCATTCATTCAAACTAACTCCAAGCATCATTTTGCAAACTGATTTTGACTAGACTAAAGCAGAATGGGAGTGGTCAGCATGCATATAATTTCATGCAGGCAAGTGCATTAGATTTTTACTCCGCATAAAACCATTTCAGGCTGAACACAAGGATTCTGAATCTTATTGCAAGTAATACGTATTTTCTTTAAAAGATTTAGCACTACACTAACTCTTCTGGGAACCTCCACGGCCAGAGATAGATACTCTAATACTTTACCCCCTGCAAAGAGTATTAGGGAATTGTTGTCTTTACACAGCTCTGCAGCCCATGCAATTATCCAAAAGTTTTTTGTTCAGCATAAGTGGAAAGAAATATCAGGTGCGGCACTTTGGGAGCTGATTAGGCAATTTAATCCCACAAAAGCAGTCAGTGTATTACATGAGACTGACTCTTTCCTATGCTTTCAGTTCCTATGCTTTCAGTTCTTTTGTAAGACATAAGCATGTTCACATTGTGGTCTTGTTTATTCTCCTCCAGTGGTCCAAAAGTGTGCTCATCTGTGAAGTACAATTGTGTCCAACAACGTTCCCCAGACACTACCATAATTTTTGCTAATCTGAAGATAGTCACAAAGTTCCCTAAATATTTTTCATTGCTCATTTAAATATCTAGTATTTTCATGAATCATTCACAGGTCTCTCTTATTTTTAGATTTCCATCTTGTAGATACATATGCAAAAGATGGAAATAAGAATCAGTGTATAGATTTTCTATAACTGAATTTTAGTTACAGCCAGTAAAACATAGCTGCTGTCAGAAGTTGGCACGGTAGTGCCTTCAGCATCTTACTACAAGTGAGTTCATTCATTCAGCTTAGCAGTCTTTTGCTTTCCACCTTATTGCCTGAACTAGAAGTTGTGGGAGTTAGCGTTTTCTTACCCAACTAAGAACCCATTTCTTTGTGATGCTGGAGCATCTTTTGCATATCCAATGTGCCCTTCAGTGAAACCAATAGAAACATCGAGCAAAGAACACAACCCATACTTCTACCCATATTGAGTTACTCTAGTCTGCATTTAAGTGAACTTTGACAAAAATAATTATTTTTATTGGTAGATCCTAAAGTTTCAGGGTGCTTCAGAGAGCATCACAGTAGAGAGAGGTTGACTTGTCCCTGAATAATTATCTGTGTGTCTCCAACCACTGAGACACATAAACTTTGCAACAGAGTGACAGGAGGTACATTCTGGCCTGCTGATGAAGTGGACTGATCTGAATTTTATTTATTTATTACTAAAGTTATTATGGTTCTTCTGCTGTTTGATTTCCTCCTTGTTTCCCCCATTGAAATTACAGTGCCACATTAGACACAGCCTCACACAGAGCTGGACGGTTAGGTGTAGTGGTCATGTGAGAAGTCCAGTGAATCAAACTGACACAACATCCACAAATACTCCATACTCCGGTGGCACTGGTTGTTATACACCTGCTTGAATTATAGTGCAATCCACAGCAGCAACCCCTAATTATGGACACTTAGAGGCCACTGTGAAAGCAGGGAAGAGAGGCAGCATGGAAAGGGATACACTGGTGATGAAGATAATGACAATTTCCATTTTGGAACGGGAAAAGAGAGTAAATTTTAAACACGCACACAGAGTTAGCTCATGGTGTCATTACACTTTCATAAAACATCTAACTCAATATTTCGAGGTGATGATTTATGAGACTACATTATTTGTTTCTGTAT